CTTTTATCTGCAGTTAGCGAAAGACATGCATGTACCCAGTGTTTACGCTAGGAATCTGAAAGAGGCCATTAGATCGTCAAAGTTAGTCAAAGCTAAATTTTTGTTCATGCGAACCATTTCAGAAGTTCATATAGTGATTCAGTGTTGACAGACAGCCGAAGAATATCACCAAATTAACGGTTTGATTCGGTAAAGACAGCCAAGAAAGTAATGACGGACGAATTTTTCCGGCAGCAGAAATATCAACAGCCTTCAGGGTTTGTAATAAACAGGAGAAAATACTACCTAAAAGTTCCATTTGAGAAGTGTGCCCATCAAGATAGTACGAAATCCCTGCGCTTTCTCATCGCTGCGTTACGGAAGTTTCGTAAGGATTTAGATTGGGCGCATGAAGGAATAAATATCAGTGCACCTTGTCTTGATCATCTGCTTTGCAAATTACATTCTCCTGATTGAAAACTGTCTTGAAGAAATGAAAACAATGGTAGAAGAACTAGTTATTAAAAAATATTGAATCATGTTTTACGGTCTACTTCTATAAGACCTGGATTGCGTCCAGTTTAAGGTATGTCAAACGGAATCAAAATGAATGGCATGATGACTGACAAAGTTTACGAATTTGATAACTTGACATAGAGTATCTCAGTTAGAGAAAACCGCTGTTTCAAATGAATGGAAGACAGGTAGCCTGAAGCGCCATTAAGAAGACTCATCATGATATTGTAAAGAAGTTTTGTACCTGTATCTAGAAAGAAAATTATTTGACCAGCGTGTATTATTATTGCGTGTACTTATTCGCTGGCGTGAAATGACCATGTGCAGAAAAATGATATAAAAGTCTCATGCTGTGCCATGAAATATGAAATACTTCATGCTGTGAATCACAAAGGGTATCAGGAAGAAGAAAGAGTGAATAAGAAATCAAACTTATCGTTATGAAACTGTTATGGTTAAAAACTGAGGAATTAAAGAAATGTGCATTCTTAATAACGTAACTCCATATCCAACCCCAGAAGTACGAAATGACCCAGAAAAAAACGCAAAACTGCGCATGAAGCTAAGTCCGTTAAGTTGTCGATCCTGTATTGATGCAGGATGCAGAAATATGGATTAAGCCTTGGACACGCCATCGTCCAGCAATAAGTTCAGACGAGTAGATGAC